CTGGCAGTGGCGGAGCTAAAGGGGGATGGAGGGCCCCCTCTCGCAGCCCAGAAAACACGTTTTTCGGCCAAAAATCTCATAACTAGGTTTGAAATTCGGGCAATCTCAGATATTTTGCACATGATGGGGCTAATAAGGATCGGTAACGGCATTAGTGTTCAATGGTGGAAACTGTGCCTGTACAGTGTCATTATCTTACTTCGATTTCCAACTGTGGAAGAGATGTATTGGAAGATATACGACAGTAAGCTGTATAGAGTAAATTATCGTCTATTTAAACTAATTATATCACTATATTACTTACCATTGATCTTATTACTTAGTTCTATACAGTCTTACTTTTAATCTAGTAGTAGTCCAATATCTTCTTACCGTTATAATAAACATAACAATAATGATAAAGGCCGTGGGCATTAATGGGCATTCTAACATAATATCATTCTTGACAATCAAAATGACTTCACCCTTTAAAAAAAAACAACTAGCGCGCCCATTGTGTCTTATCTTATCCGTACCGTTGTTAGCAGCCAAAGGGAACACGCATCGTGACGGTGAAAATAGTCAATGCGAATGATAAATACAAGTAGTCCGATATATGCTTACCACATTTCAGTAGCATTTTTTTCCATCAAACAGTAGGCTTTTTTTCAGATTTTGTTGATATTTCGTTTCATGATTTTACACAATCCACAATTTGATTCACTCACCGTTGATTAGATTTCCTGTGAAATCAGTCTTTACCGAAATTACCTTAAATCAAATCTTATGTGATGTCAGCTGGTAAAGCGTATTGTTAGATGACAACATCCCTTTACAGATTGTTGACTATAAAACCATGTAATGTGATGTTAGTTGGTAAAACTAATATGTATATGACAACATCCCTTTACAGATTGGTGACTATAAAACCATGTAATGTGATGTCAGCTGGTAAAGCGTATAGTTAGATGACAACATCCCTTTACAGATTGTTGACTATGAAACCATGTAAGATGATGCTAGTCCAGCAATCCCCAGGTGCTGGTAACCAATCAGTTTCTCCGTTATAAGATGATAATAATACATCCCTAGTGTTTATATTTCAGATTATTATATAGTGATAATTATATATTTATATTATTTATACCCAACTATATATCATATAATATTATGTTTCTTATTATTGTGGTGGTGACTGTTTACAAGTCCACAGCTCTGTCTTCTGATTTATTCATCCACGCCTCTACCTGTGTTTCCGTATTACTGTACAGAAAATTAGCTTCTATTTTGTTCTTTTTCGGTTAACGTTTTGTTGGTTGTTTGGTTTTCAAATCCACTCCCATATCTATTCTTCTGAATATCTGTACAGAATATATATTTCTGTGTGGTTGCTTTGTTTACAAGACGATATATCCGTTTTTGCCAGTGACGTATCTATCCCACAAGGAAAAAGGAAAATCTATTCTACTACCACTTCCAAAATAGCGTAAGAATGCATTCTCCACCCCC